CCCTTTGCATGTCTCTGTCACTGGGAAGGGCTTGATCCTGAGGTGGCTCCGTGGGAGGTGAGAGCACTTGGTACCACTCAGGATCAGACCTTCCAATTGTTGGCCACACTAGAAAACCAACAAATACCCATCGCTATCGACGTCTGCCTTGAAACACCAACAAGTGTGCGCGTCCCACTTAGCCTTGCCACCCCCGCTGCCCCTTTGCATGTCTCTGTCACTGGGAAGGGCTTGATCCTGAGGTGGCTCCGTGGGAGGTGAGAGCACTTGGTACCACTCAGGATCAGACCTTCCAATTGTTGGCCACACTAGAAAACCAACAAATACCCATCGCTATCGACGTCTGCCTTGAAACACCAACAAGTGTGCGCGTCCCACTTAGCCTTGCCACCCCCGCTGCCGCCATCTGCCCTTTGTCAGGGTGACGAGAGATCTTGTTTTGCACCAATGTGCCTTCTAATCTTTTCCATCCGTGTGTGGAATAAATTGTATGTGCACCAAGGCATGTGCAGATGTGCACCACCAAGAGAAACAAAAAACCTAGCTGTGGGCGCTCTGCGAATCAGCTGGGTGGCATTGAATCTCTCTTGAGCGGCCACACAAGTGCGCAGCTTACAGGGAACGCCGTTACACTCCAACCATTGCTGGATACAGATTCCGTGGAGAACATCTCTCCTGGTGCTAGGATGTATATTGAGATCCAGAGCCTCCAATAGAGTAACAATCGCACCCGTCAAAAGCTTTTTCCATTCCTAGAATGTTAGAACCGCTAAGATCAAGCCAAGTTGACCCTGGAGAACCACCAGGTGACATGGCTTCACAGCTGTGATTGTCACTGTTGCTACCATTTGCCAGGTGTGTCTGTGTTGGAAGATTCTGACTCAGAGCTGGGCCAGTCAAGAGAGTTGCATGTTCACTTTCCAAGAAAACAAACTGCCCTTTCAGAAGCGGGAGGCCCCGGGTTGCTTCCTCTTATTCTAATTACGTGGCTGGGAGGGACGCCTGGGTATTAGATACTCTCACAGCGTTCAACATTACCTGGAAGTGCTGAGGCTGTAACAGGCAGCTGGCATTTTAATACTTCCTGGACACAACACAAGCTTCCTGTTTCCAAGCAGTAGAAAGTGAGGGGGGGGGGGGGATCAAAATCTCCGCTCCAGTCTGAGGTGACCTTTTTCTTTGGCAGGAGAGACAAGGTTTGGGTCTATTTTTGGATGGGGTTCGGGGTAATTTCCTAACCTAGGAGGGAGTAAATCTGAAGTGTTCACCAGAGAAGGTAACCGGTAGCGCACTGTGCTGAGATCTCTGGCTGAGACACTGTCGGCCGTATTGCTAGGAGATGCTGTGAAGGGGAAAGCGTAAAAGCGCTGGATACGCTCATGGAGGATAGATCCATCGGTGGCTATTCGCCAGGATGATCCAGGATGCAACCCCACGCACAGGGTGTCCCAAAGCCGGAGTGCCAGATGCAAGGGCTGGATAACGGGCTGGATCACCTGATCGCCCTGCTCTGTTCATTCCCTTTGAAGCACCTGGCATTGGCCGCTGTCGACAGACAGGACACTGGGACAGATGGACCATTGGTCTGACCCAGTCCGGCCGTTCTTACATTGCACGCACCTCTTCACAGCACGGAGCGCTTTCTCTTTGGTTGCCCCTGCGCTCATTAATTTAGTTGCCTGTCTCCTCCTTTCCACTGCAGCCATCACTTGGTAGCCCGAGTGTACGAGAGTAAAGCAGAATTCCGGTCGGCACTGCAGCACGAAAAGGAAGGCTACACCATCTACAAAAACCAGGTCGGTGGCGCACACTTGCTCTGCTCCACGTTCTGCGCTCACACCGTGCCACAAACAGCTGGCAGGAACCCCTGGCAGGAGGAGCCTGTCTTGCCAGGTGCCTTTAGGAAGCGAGTGTTTCCCTTCCTAGTAGTGCCACACGGTCGCCTGTTTGACTCACGGTCTCAGTGTTGCCGTCCCCAGGCAGATTTCCAGGCGGGGAGACCCCTGCTGCTTTGGCGCTGCTGCCGGATGCTCCAGTCCGATGAGAGAACAGGGAGCGGGTTTGACGGGCACTTTTCACTCTCTTGATGGGCCCTTTCACAAACCGGTGCGGTGCGGGGAGCCTCCTCCTGCTTGCAGCGCTCATGAAACTCGGCCAGCGTGTCCAGGCAAACCTGTCTGTCAAGCCCGGCCATTGATTCGGCTTGACAAACGGCTCAGCCTGGTGGGGGGAGAGCGTGCACCTACGTGAAGCCTGTGCAGTGTTGATAAGCTGCAGACAGTGCTGCAGGTTAGACCAGGTCATCTACACTCAGAGGGAGAGACACTCCCGTCTCAGCGGGGCTTCAAGGGGAGAAATCTTAAGCTCCGCTAACCCCCGAGATGCTGTAGTTCAGGCAAAGTTTGGGGTTTGTGTTGATACCATTTTTTTACATTTCTGACCAGCTGGGAGAGCACCATGAGAAGACCAAAGAAAGCTCCGAATACTTGAAATACCTGACTCAGCAAGCAGTGGCTCTCCAACGCACAATGAACGAGATCTACAAGAACGGCTCCAACGCAAACATTATGCCACTGAAGGTAACTCGCATGCGCCAGGGCAGTCGGGGACTCCGCT